ATGAGGTGTTTCTTTGTACTTTGTCCTTACTGTGAATATTTCCAAAAGGGACTCATGCAAGCTGGGCTGGGAGCCCATGCTGGCCCTGCTGGGCTGCAGTGCCTCAGAGTGGGTTCACTTCCATCTGCTGGGTCTTGGCCTTCATGGAACCTTGCATTAGGCTAATTCAGAGCACAGGACTTGTGAGGACACCTCAGGGACTCAGCCACGTCATCCTTCCTGGGCATGCCTCTGTTTTCCTTCCTGTGAATATGAGGGGGACACTAGAAGGCTCTCCACATCCCCTCCTGCTCCAACACTTCTGTTCTATGAGCTGTTCTGAAGCCCTGGAGGGAGCTTGTGGGTTGCCTGTCTTCACTGTTGGTGGTGTCCCAGAAATAAATGTGTATGGTACCGCCTGGTCAAGCACAGAGTTCACTGGGGTGGAGAGATGGAACTGGCAGCTCAGGAGGGAATTCTGAGTTTGTAGTTGTGCAAAAGCAGGAACTGGCTGAATAAGACACTCGACAGAGTAGCTCAGTGTATAGATGAAACGTCACAAGCACTGCCTAGAGAGGCAGCAACGTGCATTCCTGGGAGGTGGTGTCCAGCCAGGCAGGCAGTAGATGAGGGACTTGGGGCCCTTCATGGAAGATGGTGTTCCAGGTAGAGAGGATGAGGGTGAGGAGAAAGTGGTGTCTTTAGTGGGAAACACATCCCAGGTACAAAGGATGGGGATGAAGGGAACAACATGGTGCTTTTTATAGGGGACAGTGTGCTGGGGAGAGAGGACAGAGTGGAGAAGGTAGGTCCTTTCATGGGGGATGGTGTTCGAGGGCGAGAGGAAGGGGCTGAGGAGAAGGTGGTTCCTTTCATGGGGGACAATGTTCCAGGTAGAGGATGGGATGGAATTCCAGGTAGAGCGGAAGAGTGAGGGCAGCATGGCGCCTTCGTGGATGTTGGTGTTACAGAGCTGGAAGACGGAAGAGGAGAAGGTGGCTTAACTGCAGTAGAGAGGAGCTGCTTAGTGGGAGGTGGGAAGGCGAGGCTGGTGTGAGAGGCATGTGGGTCGGGTGGGGCGGTTTGAGGGCCGCCCACAGCAGGAGGGGCATCGAGACCCCAGGCCACCAGCAGGGGAGCAGACCATCAGGGTCTCTGTTCATTCAGAAAACAGCTGCCATGTCCCACTGTGGACCAACACTTTCCTGTCTGGCAAGGATTTGAGGTACCAACCTTGCTGTCGGTGAGGAGCCTACCTTAAAGCTTGTTCTGAAAATATTTAAACATGTGTCAAAGTGGGAGCATACATAATGACGCCCTGCACCCATGTGGTAGCTTCGCAGTTGTTAATTAGGGCAAGTCTTGTGTCTACCCTGCCTCTTTCCTGATCCTAGACAGCTCCTTACTTTGAGCAGAAATCCTGCAGTGCACAGCCCTGCCGTCTGAGAATGTTTTGGCCACCACCGCCACGACACCGTTATCCACCAAACCAAATCACTAACAGCTGTGTCATTTCTGACACCCAGTCTGGGCCTTTGTTTACGTTTCTTTCAAGCATGACTGGTTTATTTCAATCAGGATAAAATGAGATGGACACACGTCTCAATCGTCCTGTGGGGTTTTAATTTATAGAGTGAGTGAGACAGAGAGAGACCAACACCACCAAATGAAGTTTATTACTCATAGTCCCTGGATCACACAGGGAGCACTGAGGTCAGCCCCTGGGCAGAAGGAGCCAGGGTACAGCATGGCCCTAGGTCTTCTTTGTGCCTTATGGGGTGGGGAAAGGGTGGGGAAGATTAAGCAGCGAATCAGGCTTAGACTTGGCTGGTGTGAATAACTTTCAAGGGTCTGGCATTATGGGCATGGCCCAGTGCCGGGCCCAGGGGATACTGGTTTGGTGTGTGAGAGGTAGGTTACACAGAGGCTGCCTGGAGTGTCCACTGGGCTTGGTTGGTTTGCATATGGAAGGCAAAGTCTCAGGGAGCTGTTTATTGACTAGAGATTGGCTGGCCCTGGGATGGGCAATCTTCCTCAGACAGCAAGCTCTTTCAAGTTCTCAGATCATCCTAAAATACAGAAAATAGAAAAAAAGATAGAGAAATATGAGATTTTCTCTTTCCCGCTAAAGTTCCAATAATTTTCATCTATGAAATAAGCTGATCATAGGTTCACAGGAAAAAGCATACACATTTATCCACAGGCATAAATACGGAGTCACGTTGTCTTGGTTACTTTTCTCTCATTGCTGGGACAAAATACCTGACGCCCAAAATGAAGGAAGGAAAGGTTTATTTCGCTTACAGTTTGTGGAGGTTTCAGTCCATACTTGGCTGGTTATAAGGCAGAGTGGCACATGGCAGAGGGCTATAGCTCATGGTGGCGGAACACAGCAAAAGCAACAAGCACACACCAGGGTGGAAAGTCCAGAAGTACAACAGCCAGTTACCAGCGGGGATGGTATCTTTCACCTTTCACACACTCATTGGACACTTGTTAGATTTGCACTGGGTCTCCTACCCATGTTTATTTTTGAAGCAAATCCCAAGAGATGATGGACGAACATCTGTCCTAATACTTGGGCTTCCTCTGCCATCACCTGTGGAGGGACAGGGCCCCTGCTCCGGACCAGAAGCTGGTGGGGCTGGGCGCAC